TTATTTCCATCAATTATAGGATTTTTTTTTCAATTTGGCAAATTCTTTAATTCCCATTCTAGATAATTGGCTGATTCCTTAAAGGTGACCTCTGTAGCTATTATTTTCTAAGTAATCACAATTTCACTGTCATCAAATAAATGCATTTTCCAAGTATTTTCAGGCATAAATTAAATGTCTGGTTTGTGGATCATGACTAACAGCACTCCTTCATTTAAGCTTTTTTTTTTTGCCTCTCATTACTTCAGGAAATGCAAACTTCCCACAGTTTGCTTCTAATGCTTTCTACAAATCATCAATAATTTCATTACCAGGCTAATGTGCTACTTTTTAATAAAAGAAGAAAAATGACTAAAAGTCTGAGGTTCATTTTTACTTTTTTATTGTGGCTAAAGTAGGTGATTTAATAATTCTTTTTTTCTAACTCTATAGTTAATCTCTCTAAACTGTAAGTTGCCATTTCTCTCCTTGCTTATAATAAGGAAAATAGCCTGAATTTTCAGAGAACTTTCCAGATTTGAAAGCATGGCTTTTCTGGTTGTTTCATTTGATCATTACAACTACCATGGGTCAGAGTATGAATAGCTTTAGCCTTCATTTCTTATTTAGTTGTCTCTACCACACCATAAATGACCTTGGGAAAGCCACTTGGATTTCTCTGCATCTCAGTTTCCTCATTCTTACTGAGCTATGACAAGTTGTAAATTAGTAGTAGCAGTAGTAGTAGTAGTAGTAGTAGCTATGATTCACTTTAGAAAGCAGTAAACTAGGGATCAGAGAAATGAAATTTCTTCCCCATAGTTTCTAAATAGGAAACCTTAGCAAGTTTTTTAAAGTATTGTGAGAAGATAAACAACTTGTTACACATACAGAATAGCACAGAACTGGATACAAAGTCTAAATCAAGGGCTGGGAAGGTGGCTCAGTGGTAGAGCGCTTGCCTTGCATGCATGAGGCCCTGGGTTCGATTCCTCAGCACTACATAATCAAAAAGAAAAAAGCCAGAAGTGGTGCTGTGGCTCAAGTGGTAGAGCGCTAGCCTTGTGCTGAAGAGCTGAGGGACAGCGCCCAGGCCCAGAGTTCAGGCCCCACAACCGGACCCCACAAAAAAACAAAATCTAAATCAATCATGTACAAAACTATGAAGTTTCAAAGAAGCCACCTAACTTCTCTGAGTTAAAATTCTCTAAACAAGGTGAAAGGTGTATTCCACTTTTTTTAAGAAGTAAACATGCACATATATTATGTCTCAGCACACCGAAGGTACATTCATTCCTTTTCCTCACTAATCTAATTAAGCTAAACAGGCCAAAAGACTTTATACTTCTCTAGGCACTTTTGAGGTTATCCTCTCAACTGCATAGCACAGTCTGTAATTTGAAAGATAGAAGCTACCCCAGACAGAAATTCATCCCCATTAATGGAATATGGGGGAGAGCAAGATTCTTTCCATACTGACTTTGGCAAAAGCGAACCAAAGAAGGAATAACAAATCATCCAAGCACACGAGAGATCACTGCCTCATTTTGCCAGTAAGTAGGGCAGTAGGTAGTAGAGTTGGTTGCTCACAGTGGCTTGTTTATGATCTATTGAAGTTATTGGACAAGGAATCACCATGTTTTAGACTGGACTGTGATGTTACTAGAAGCTTCCTGAAGGTCCTGATTTATCAGCAGGAATTTTTATTTTCAATTTGTAAAGTTTTATCATTACAACTCTAAGGAAGACTTACGGTAAGGCCTTTCTAGCAGAAGAATGTGTACCTACTTTACGATTTCTACTGCTATGGACATATCCAGATATGTCAAAGGTATCTACTACAGGCTTGGCCTAGAAAGGCCACTGGAAGTACAAGTCAGTTTTCATGTTATTGTATGATGTGAAAATAGGAATATTCCTCAGTGGTCTTCCAGGGAAAACTGAGCATGGACATAGCATGTGATAGCAACTGATCATCAAAGCAAGAATGAAAGAAAGGGGAATTACCACATCATAAACTATTAGTGTGATTCCTTCCCTTCTTTTTGATTTGGGAACAAAGGCTCTTCCCCATGAACAAGCACAAAGGTAGTAAATGACTGGCCACATTAGGCTAAATATTCCCATTTTTGTCTGTACCTAACATAGACATGAATATGAAGACAGATCACTTTCAGAAGCTGTTAGCCATGTTGATAACAGGGATGTTCTCTGTCTTCTCAAAGTTACACTACTAACATATAAAAATAAATGTGTCTGTTTCATAGTCCTGCCTGGTTAAGAGGTATGAAGATCATTACTTTAAAATTATGAAAAATAAACCAATTATTCTCCACCTCCTAATAGTGTTAAGGACTTTAAGAGTAAGTTCCTTGACTAGAGTTCATTTTTTAATCGATCTAAAGGTAGGATGTAAAACTCATCTGTTTGTTCTGCCTCTACCTAAAAAAATGGACAAGATGTACATTATGTTTTAAGATCCCCACCAAAAACAGAGGCTATTTCTTACTTTATCCCCAATATTTCTTTCATTCCCCCTATTTTGTTGTCACTCTAACATTCCATCCACATCTTCTTCTTTTCAATGGCTTGTGAATCTTAACCATCTCTCCATCTTGTATATCATTAAATCTCCTTTGGGTCCTTGCACTACTCTGAATCAGCTCTCCTTCCTACCTCCATTGACATTGGATCTTTCCCATAAATCTCTAAATATGCTCATGTTTCTCTCACTTAAAAACAAAGGAGGAGGCTACAATGCTTGATAAGAAATGTACTCGTTATCTTGCTCATGTAATTGTAACCCCTCTGTATGGTATACTCAAAATAAAAAAAAAACCCAAAGCCAAAACTCCCCTGTATATAATTTCTCACCTTACTTTCTAACTTATCTTATTTCCTTCCTCCAAACCAAACCTCTCTGCAATATCAAGTTGACACTGAGTACTATTCTTTGGTTTTTCCATTCCATTCTTCTAACCATAGCACTTGACTTTCCACAATGATGACCATGATCAACAAATAAAATGCCTCAGCCTGGGGTCACTGATTTCCTCATAGCTTCCAAATCCACCACCCATCATATAGTCTTTCCCTTTTCTGACCTCTCTAAATCATACAACTAGCAAATCTTTGTTACCTAAAATCCCTGGCTGACTGGGTAGGTTTCTATTAAACTTTTCTTAACTTCTCTGCCTACAAATCCAAGCATCCCTTTTTTGGTCTTCTTTCTCAGTTGTTCTTTTCATCACCTCCTTTATCTTAGATATCAATCTCCAGAATCGTTTTTCCTTCTTGCTTTGTTGTCTGACTTTGTGGTATTTAGCTCATATCTTCATAGGTAGTTGCTACATAATCAAAACAGAAAAATGCCTCTTTTGACTACTCCCATGAGTGATCATATATCTAAGGTTTACTTAATGTCTTTTCCAGTGACTACTGGCTATTCAAGTTCAACATGCTCAAAGCTGGGTTAATATTAATTACTTAACTACTTATGATTAATCAAGCAAGCTAAATATACACATCCAAAAGCAGTATATAAATTAGATCACTTGAGCTTGGAAAAAATATCTTTTTAGAAATTATACTAGTAGTAGTGACAGTTTGAAAACTGGCAGCTTAGTTAAGAGACATAAGTCTCTTTTCAGGGTAACAAAACTTGGAAGGTACTCACATGTCTCAGTCAAGACTAGTTATTCTGAACAAGGTAGCAAAAATCTGGCCTCAGTAGTCATCAATTCAAACAACTGGCTCTCTACCCCAAAGCCATCTGAAGACCAACTCTGTCCTCATTAAGAACTTTTCCTGAATTTGCTCTCTCTCATTAAATAATGACTTATTAATCTCAATTCACAAAAATTTTCTCCATTGTTTTATTTCTTATATGCATGCTTTCATTGAAGAAAGTATATTACTACTAGATTTCTATTATACAACCAGAGAACCGGGTGCTAGTGACTCATGCCTGGAATCCTAACTACTTTAGGAGGCTGAGATTTGAGGATCATGGTTGGAAGCTAGCTCAAGCAACAAAGTTCATAAAATTCTTTTCTCCAATTATTCACCAAAAAACCAGAAGTGGATGATGTGGCTCAAGTGGTAGAATGCTAGCCTTGAGTAAAATGCTCAGAGACAGTGTTCAGGTCCTGAGTTTAAGCCTAGCACTGACACAAAAAGAACAACCAGGCTAAACCAAACCAAAAACAAAAAAAAGCAGAACTTCCTTTATAATGTCTTCACAATCATGCCTTAACTTCACCCCAATAGATAGATAGATAGATAGATAGACAGACAGACAGACAGACAGACAGACAGACAGACAGACAGACAGACAGACAGACAGACAGATAGATAGATAGATAGATAGATAGATAGATAGATAGATAGATAGATAGATAGATACAGTTTCTCAGTTGGTATTGGAGCTACACAATAGATAGCCAGGATAAGACTAGAAAATCAACCTAGTTATATTTCATCCTCTGGTCAAGCCAAGCTTCTAACCCATGATTGGAAGTCGCCAGTAAAAATGATTAGCTTTCTCCTGTATCTTAAGACACTGATTCTCAAATAGCACTCAAAACATTGAACAATTGCTAACAACGTAATACGGAAAAGGAAATCTTTGGTCACGCAATGGTTGTAACACACTGGGAAGAGAAATATGCATACGCATTGACAGTCTGATGAAGTCTTCAGGGCTGACAAACCACAGCACTGAAAGCATAGAGGGGACATTCCTTGCTGGAGCAAGGGTAGGGTAGTAAAGGCTCCCTGAAGACAGAAGTGTCACATGCTTCCTTTGATCTTACTGAGCTTCTCCAAGAAAATGGATTTTATCACTGAAGACTTTCTCAGAAACCTGCAATTGTCTCAAGTTTGACATATGTATATTTTTCATTTGATTCTCCTAGAAATGATTTAGGTGCTTTAAAAATAAATTAAATGTTGATTCATGAGTTCAAAACGATAACAAGCAAGCCTTTTGAGAAATATAAATTACATACATATTCAGCTACCTTGTACGGCTCCCCAAAAAGATCAAAGCCTGAAGAAAAGAGACCATCTTCTTGCTGAACTTCTTGATTCCTCCGTTCCCATTCCCTTTTCTTAAGTGCACTACGATCTTGTTCATAGTGACTGACATGTAAAGGAAGAGACAAAAAGAGAAACAAAGATTCATTAGTCATGTAAGTCATTTAGATCTCTCATATTGTTAACTAAGAAGAAAAATGCAAGTCAGTACTACTCAAGTTCATATTTCATAGAGGACAGAGAATGCTTTTTACTCCTACTGAATTCAAGATCCTGACTAGTTCTTTACAATAAAGAAACAATGAAAATGTTTTTCTTGTAAGTGTTAAAATTGTCTTTAAGGAGCTGTTTATAGGGGCTTCAGCTCAACATGTCCCTTGTTGAGTGCAATGCATCTTGACCATTTGATTACTTGATCTTCATCTTGACCACTCCCTTCATCATTGTCCCCCATCTCTCCCAAACTCATCCATCAGCTCAATTTATCTATTTCCATTTGTATACATGCACATTGAATATTATGACAGCATTTTCCCACCTTTCCTCTCTCCATTTTTCTACCCTCCTTCCCTTCACCTCACCCTCTCCTGGTAACACATATTTCAGCTTCCTGGAATTCAATTTCTTGAAATGTAAGTTAATTGTTTGAAGGAGGTATGCCATTGCCACCATCCTTGTGTATACAATATTTACCCAATGCTTCTGTATATATGCACATGAGTCTATGTATGTTTCATATATATTCATAATTGAGATACTTCCACTTATGAGAGATAACATTGGCCCTTTGTCTCTCTGACCTGACTTACTTTATTTAATGTAATTTAGAAAACAAAAATTTTAAAGTAAAAATTGTACTCATTAACAGGCAAGTATGATGTAATTCTCTTCCCTTGCCATTTTCTGATTATTACAAGCAAATACACATTCCTCAAAAGTCAGTCTGCCATGCAGAGAAAGACTGAATTAAAGGTATATTGTGTGCCAACTACCTATGGCTCAGAATCTACAAATGTCCCAAAGTTCCAAGGGAGAGGAATTATTAAAGCATTGAAGCACATGGAATTCTGTGCTAAGCCTCTCCTCTCTCAATAAATTAAGTCATAGGAGATTTTAATGACCTTTAACTCTTTTGTGAAATGGCACACATAGAGAGACACTGTTTAGTGTCCACCCCATTTTTGTTTAGTTGTTATTTCAGTTTTTCGATACTTTGCCTTAGAAATGACTTTAAAAAAACTTGTGGGGAAACACTTCATAGAGGAAAGTCCCTGGCTGAAATGCTTTCCTAGTAATGAAAGAAAGGATGAATCAGAAGCCTTGAACGATGTCAATGCCCAAATGTTACATAAAAATCAACTCTGTGATGTTCATTGAGTTTCAGGCTTTCTCCTTGGAGGATTAAAACCTTCCAAGATGGAACACTTCTTTATTAAGAAAAAATATTTTAATCACATAAAACTATACATTAAAACACGATTTTGAAGCATTTTCCCACGTTTTATTAGCATCAATTAGTTGTACATATCTAGGCACATAATGCACCTCAATTGGCTCAGCTTCCCCATCGGTCACCCTCATTCTCCTTAATAGCTTCTAAAAGTCATCCCAAGTTTCACTGTTCCATTTTATTCATGTACATAAAGTATTTTGACCATATTCTTCCTTCACCGTTTCTTTGCTCTTTCTCTATCACTAGTAGGTCCACACACCCCTTACAGGATCTATTTCATATTCCTGTCTTTCATTGTTTTTCAGTTCATCCTAATTGTTCAAAGAGTTTTAGTAGAGTATTTCATACATGCATGTGTAGCTTTTTAATCCAACTGATCACCTTGCTTCCTCTCACTTTCCCCATCCCTTCTACTCCTAATATTCAACAGCTTTCATTTAATCTATAGATCTTAGAGTACAGGTTGAGCATCACTAATTTGAAAATCTGAAACTCAAAATAACCTTAAACTTTTTCACATGATGCCACAAGTTGAAAAATTCAATTTCCCATCTGACATCCTATGACCAGATCACAGTCAAAATGAAGACACACATATAGCTATTATATAAAATTGCTTTCAAGTGCTAAGGATTATATGCAACAGAAATAGATTTCCTGCTTAGAATTGCGCTCATCCCCCAAAATGGTTCACTCTGTAATTGTAACTATTCTGAAATAAAAAAAACAATGTGACGTCAAAACTACTTCTGCTTCCAAACATTTCAAATAAGAGATATTCAACTAGTACTGTATTTCACTGAGGATTTTGGGGGCTACACTCTTGATGTTAGCCTTATCTAAAGTTAGTATGTGCATGTGTATATGTATGTGTATGTGCTGAGAAAAAATTTTTAATTTTATTTTTATCTTTAAGGAATTCTGCAAAGGAGTTGCCATTCAACAAGAGAAAATTTAAATTCTATATGAATATAATATGCTTAGCAGTCGTCAATTCAGTTTTCCTTCTTTTTGCTATTATTACCACATTGATACTTGATTCAATAATTAATATGCAAATAACAATAGCAGCTAAAGGAGTTACAGGAAGTAGATATAAAAGTAAAGTTGGTAGAATTTGTATATATCAGAAACTATCATTGATAGACTAATTTGCTCCTGAGTATCATGGCTTTACAAGACTATAAACTATCTACACATATGTAAGACATTGATATATGAGGAATATGTGCTGTCACAACACTTAACCATCTTCTCTCCTCAAGGGAAATCCTTGAACTATCAAATTTAAAATTACTTTGAGAGTCAGATCTTTTAAACAAAACCACACATTCCACCATTTCAAAATAGCCACCACATTTATAGGGTGCTTCAGTGAACATTATACTTTCAGAATACAAAGAATGCCAGGCCTGTAAGGGTTCACACTCAAGTATATGTTCAGAAAATGATATTTCTCTATGAGGAAAGTAGAGAAATCCTCAGACTCCTCTTCAAAGCCCCAGCACTATATTATGATTCTGCCTGGTCAAAAAAGATGTCATTCAAAATAATGGAATCTAGTCTATTATATGGTATCTAAGAAGCTCCCCACTGGTATTATATTTAGTGGTATCACATTTCATTTTGATGCTCAGGTTGACATCAGAGTTCCACAAAGAGGTCATGTGCCTTCTGGTTTTCTACTAGGGGCTGATGTAGAAACAAGCAGGTATAGTAATGTCTTCAGTCCATTAACCATGCAGCATGAATTTGTACCTCAATATCACCTATCAGCCACAGGTAATCCAAGCCTATCCATTTGTCTCCATGTTAGAAAGACAGAGTTATCAGAGGGGTGGGGACAGAGTAACAAGTTCGTACAGTATTAGGAAGGAGAATGTGTTACAAAGGAGAAGCACATGTAATTTCTTTGGCTTCCTTAGGAGATGATTTTCAACAGGTAGACAAGAACCCTGGTCTGCTGCTTCCAAGTACAGTGAACACGTGTCAGTTTTCTAGCTCTCTAGTCATTTCATGCACCTGACAGCTCATAATGACAGGCCTATAGATCACATTTAATTTGCCCATGAAGAGAACTCAACTGCTTTGGTCGCTTGTCTTTGCAAAGTACCTTCCTTCTCCTCTGTCAGAAAGATATAATTAAAACCCTGAAGGAAAAAATAAAGAAGAAGAAGAAAAGCAAGCATGCTTTGACTTGTATGACAACCCTTCAAGCAGCCAGCAGGAAGGGCATTTCAGAGCTTTCGACCTAGCTTTGATTTGTCCAGAGGCTCTTGGCTACATTTTGCATCAGTTCATTACCTAGGAAATTCCAGACAGAAATTTAAATAGCAGATTGAATGTGCACACGGATGCTATCTGTTGCAAGCAAAAGTGCCTGCTACATTTTTTTAACACATCTAACAAAGAACAGTTAATTCTCATATCTCTGGTGAGAATGGCTTTACTCTTCATAGAGTTCCACTGCTCTTGGAAGGTAATCACATAGTTCCAACTTTTTCCTTTCTTGTTCAGCATGGCATTGTAACAAAAGCTTCACACAGTGAGGTTTAATGAGGAATGAACTACATGGTGATGAGGCTTTCAATGTGCAACATCACTGCTTTCTGACTGAAACCAACATTACTAATTTGAAGCCCCAGCTAATTGAAACTACAGTTATGTATTTAGCCTCTTGTTATACCTACTGCCATTTATAATTATGAGGACCTCTTTGTATACTCAATTAAAGTTCTTATTATTCAGGCAGTTTCTGTTTGAACCCATGAGTCCTGCAGAGGCTACAGGAAAGTGTATTCTGTCCCCTGATGATTTAATGGATTTTGTACCTTCCTGAGCTTGTTTTTATAAGGAAACAATGGCACATGGCCCACAAGCAAATGCCCAAGCCAGGACCTGGATTAATCGTTATATTTTTGGTCTGAAGAATTGGAGTTTTACTCAAAATGATGAGGACACAATGGTCCTATTGGCATGAAATTCCATCTTTTCATTGAAAAGTTCAGCCCCAAAGAGAAACTCAAGGACTCATTACTATCAGCAAGTTAGGATGATTTTTCAAATTGCTTTTTCTCCTGCATGTAATGACAATCGTCACACCATGCTAATATAAAAACTGTTGCTCTTTCAAAACCAGTCACTGGTGAATTACCCAAAGGTTCTAGGGTTTTTGTGCCTACATCTTTTTTTTTTTTTTTGCCATTCGCTATACTCACTGTTCGGAAAAGACAGTAACTATTCTGTGAAGTACCTTGTTCAACCAAGTTGTGATGACAGGAAGCTTCTCTATCAAAAGATATTATGCTGGCTGTGATCTCATTCCCCTGTGTGAATCTTTGTCCTCCAATTACAGAGAAAATGCCCTCACTCACATAGGAGGAAACTAACACAATCCTAAAATGAGTGGAGCTGTCCCAAGCCCTCATCCAGCCTGTGACAAAGGAAGATTTGAACGTGTGTTGCTGTTGTTTTTTCCTATCTTCAGAGTGGAATTATTTCTTTGTAGTCTCTTCTTATAGTCCCCTATTAGAGTCCTCAATCCTGATCTTGTATATAGGGAACTCTTGTGTTTGCACATTAGAAGCCCCAGGTACATTTGTAGGGCAATCAAATTCAGGGCCCAGGTAGATTCACTGAGGTCTAGAAAGTTCAATTATGCCATTTTCATTAGCTCACAGTGGTAGCTCACTTGGCTGACAATGCAGGCTTGTCTTTCAGAACAGAATCTGTGAAAGCAAGGAGACACTTCAGCAATCATCTAGCTGTGGGGTCCTCATTTTATAGATGAGCAAATTGAACTAGAAAACGTAATGGGCCTCACAGCAATTCTTTGGCAGAAGGAAGAGGCTAAAGCCCAGCTTTTCCTCTGCCAAAACTACCTCTCCACCCAATATCTAAGACTTGACTCCCTGGTCTCTTGTATTTTCATCATCCTCCAGAATATGAGTCTCACTGGTACCCATTGGTCAAGTTTTCTTAGCGTTACATT